CACCACGACGACTACTACTACTACTACTACTACTGCGACTACGACTACGACTACGACTGCGACGACGACGACGACGACGACGACGACGACGACTACCACTACCACTACCACTACCACTACTGCCACTACTACCGCAACTACCACTACTACCACTATTATTACTACAGCTACTACTGCCACTGCTGCTCCTGCTACTATTACTACTACTACTAGTACTACTATTACTACTGCTGACTGCTGCCACTATTGTCGCTAGGTAGTACTGCCACTACGGGGTAAATGGCCTTGCGAATGTGGGGGGCCACAAAACTTATGCTACAGATCCGAGAAAGGATCGTAACTTGGAGAAGACTGGCCCTGAGCAGCTGATCAACTACCACCCTGAAACTATCCGGAAACCACGAAGACCAGTCAGCCAGGGGCTTCTTCATCATTGGCTCATGGAGCGGCTGGACCGAGCCGGAGCCGATGGAGGCGAAGCGCCTACCGTATGGGAGACAAGAAAGAAACCTTCTGTTCAGAAGAAGGATGTAGCCAATGATGGACAAAGACAGTTGTGCTTCTACGGTTTTCAGATGGAGTTCCTGGTCAGTGCCTGCAGCGCTGCTGGTTGACCAGTTTCAACAAAACCCTACCAGCCTTCGCAGCAACAGGACGAAGGGGATGGCTGCCGCGGTCCCAGACTTCTCTGTTTCTACCAGTAGTAGAATGTAAGCTTTCCAGATTATTTGAGACCATGATGGAGTCCATGGAGTCCATGGCTATGGGTAAGGCTACGGCTACACGCTTGTCCTCGGTGATACGAGATGGGCTGGGACCCCGGCAAGTGCGTCCAGGTTTACGAGGTACGAACATCCCTGGCTTGTGTTGTGATGCCCTTGATGCTGCAGGAGCAATTCCAGCTGCTCATTGACAATAGCTATTCCAAGGTTCTGCGGGGTCTTCGTTGCTCTATTACCTTGCGCTGCAGCGCTAATTGTTTGGAGGTGTTACATCCGCAGCGGTACAAGGCACGGAGCTTTCTTATGTTCAGCTGCCCTTTCAAGCATACTCGCTTTGCTGGCAGGCGCCGAAGGGAACCGAGGTGTTTGGGCCAACCCGTCAGGAGGAGGTCATGCAGGCACGGCAAGGCAACATGCAGAAACAACAATACTTGTTGAATGCTGTGTCGTAGGACAGCACTTGGTTCGTGGATGGACGACCCAACAACACCCAGATCCGTGCCATCACGGCTTCAGCAGGCACGGCGACCGGCCACCTTCTCTGCTTGCAGAGCAGAGCCTGCGTGCAGAGCCTCCGTGCAGGTGCGACGGCGGTGGCGACTCCAGAGCCTTTGACCTTCACCAACGAGGAGAGTCGAGCCGACAGAGCAGAGCCGGGACTTTTAAAACCCTTCTCCTCTCCTTCATCGAATCCTCTCTGCAGGACGAGGGTCTGCCAGGTCAGCTGTACCGCATTCGTGCGCTCCTCGGGGTATCTGGATTTCTTTATATGTTTGGGTACTTTCCACGCCTCTCCTGCAGAGGCCTGCATATTGCTGGCAAGTGGAGAACGGTCACATGGGCGAAAGCGAAAGAGGCCGTGGAAGCGGGAAGAACATGTGTTAAGATTTGCTACGGCCAAGCTTGAAGGCTCCACAGGGCCTTCTCGCCCTGAAAGGACCCGAGGTCCGTCGGGCCGAGCCTGAAACAGATCTTGAAACGACCTGGGGGGATCCGCAGGCCAAGTACTACGTCGCAGGGAGCTGGAATGTGCGAAGCTTGGGCACATCCTCTTGCTCTTGCCCCTTGTCCACGATTCGAGTGCCGGAGATTTACCTCGTGCCAGAACTATCGTTTCGAAGAGATGACGGCCGTGAGCGATGGAACCTACACGTGCGAGGTAAGTGCACAGATTTCATAGACTTGCGATTGCGAGTGACTGCAGCCATTGTCCCTGAGGTGTCCCTGTCCTCTGGCCCCAATCGGTTCCAGATCACAAGGAATGGTGACTGGCACCAAGCGGTCTCGGACTGAGACCAGCTCAGTGGCGACCCTGTGCTTCTTGGGTACTCAGTGGGCAATTTCAGCGGATTTGTTCGAATCCTTGCTCAGATTTTCCCAGTGTCACCAAATGCTGGTCCAACCGTTGGGTGCTTGGCAAACTTCGGGTGAGCAATTTACCAGCAGTCGAGCGAAACCTGACGAGATGAGGTCGAGATCGAAGGGCCAAGCGATCGGAAAGATCGACACTGGCGCACGGCTGAATGATACTGATCATCGTGTCGCTTGCTGCAGACCTTGGGCATTGGCCGCCCGTTCTCACGAGGTTAGTCAGCGCGACTGCCGGCGAGAAGCTGAAGATTACGTTCCAGCGCACAATCGATGCGTCGGGCAGCAGTAAGATGAAGGCCCCGCGCTTCATGAGAAACCCGGAAGCTAGGCCATCCCAGTTTACAAAAACATCTGCGACAGCAGACCCCTGCACTGTCAAAGGTGCTCTGGGAGAAGTTGTAAGAAGGCCGGGAGTTGCAGCCACATCCAGTGCTCCGTGGGACGTTGGTCTTTGGCTTGCCTCAGGACGTGATCACTAAGGAGGTGAAGGTGAAGGTGCGTGCTGGACTTGGGCTTACAACATCGCCGTAGAACCCTACGATTTCCATGCTTCCGATAGCCAAAAAAGGCTGTGTTGCGTCTGTCCTTCGAGGGACGTGCAAACGTTCAAGCCACGGCCGGGTCTTTGCATGCCTTCATGTGCTGCAGCCTTTGCCAGAGTACTGAAATACAAGATGCCTAGAGAAGAATCGGAGCCACGTGTATGACTGTATGAGTGGGATTCGAAGATGGCTTGGAGTGCCGACCCATCCAGCAAAAGCGCTAGAGCTAGCTTTGACTCAGCCTGTGACTCACGGCGCATCGTCGCAAGCACTTTCAAGCGTCTTTGCCGGCTGAGCAAGCTCATCATCGCCATGACCCGGTGAGAGCATGGACGAGAGACCGGATCGAAATGAGCCCGGTTTTCCGTGGCCAGGAAAGAGAGAGGCTGGCTCGGGATCACGCCGCAACTATCAAACTGCATGCGTTAAGTTGATTTGGCCTGCTTCTTTACCATCCGGTTGTGAGCCAAGTCACACTATATAGCAGTCATCCATACCTTAGTTGTGCAATGTTGTGCAGCGTATAGACCGTTTCCAAACCTGAATGTGAACAAGTTTCCTTTGCGGAGGCACGCGAGCTTCCCGGTAGCCTGGAGGAGCTGGGCATCCCGGACCTGCTAGGCGCGATTGGCAGAGGGGGGATTCCGTACTCCGGTGTCCGCAAGCGTGATGCTGGAGCGCGGATTAGTCTCCTCTTTCTTGTATTACAATTCTTGTGATGATGATGCTGCTGATGATGATGATGATGGTGATGATGAGTAGACTGTCAGCAGTCACAGTTTAATCAGGCGTTTGTTGCCAGGGAGGCCAACATGACCATCGCGATGCTTGCTCCCAACTCCCCACAGTTCAGACCAGCCTCGCATCCCGTTTCCAATGGCCCCGTAGGCAAATATCAGAAATGGGCGTTGGACGGTGTGTTGTTGCACAAGTCTTCCCTCCCGGGGCTCTGCCACATTTTCAGGCAAACGTTCGAGCGCCCAACGGGGCAAAAGTCTCGTGTTTCTGAAGCAACGAAACCCAACAGAGAGGCGCCCATCTTTGCGTGTGTCTCAAGCTTCGGGATGCTCTTTGCTCTTGTTTTTCAAGCGTGTGGGCTTGGCCTGCTATTTAGATAAAGTGAGTCCCCTATTTGTGGTGGTTCCCGCAGATGCCGCAGAGATTTCTCTATCGGCAGGACAGTTCCCCCACTGGGAAAACTCTGATTTTGGACGCACTGCCTCGTACGTCATCGCCGACCCATCATTGCATTCCTGGCCGGACGCCGTGTTGAGTGTTCCACACGTTGTGAGGCCAGATTATGTATCTCCGCTCGGAAAGATCTGCTTGCATGCGCCAAGAGTCCCAGCATCCTACTTTTTCGAGGCTGTGTTAAACAGGCGGTTCTTTTGCAGAGTATGTCAGCAGCTAAGTGCAGCTCACTCCATCCAGATTTACTCCGTTCCGTGGGAAAGATGCCGCGAGCAAACAGTCACAGTACTTCTCGCAGGTTGACCATTCTAGCAGATCTGCATTCTTCCAAGTCGATCCGTTTGTTCCTTCGGATACCCCCCTGACGGCCAAAAGGAAAACAAGACAAGTCGATCAGCTTGCAGGACGGGAAGGGGCTGACCCTCCCCGGACAACTTACTATCCCAAGATCGGCTTCTGTTTCGTGAGCAGCAATTGGGCAAGTCGAGCCGAGCAATGGCAAACACGGGCTCCACTTGCGTGAGCACAAAAAGTCATACTGAAGTCTGGCGAGGAATGCCGAGGCAAGAGCTCGTAGGTCACGGCTTGCGCTTGAAGGTCCCCTGGCACCCCTCGAGCCACCGGGCAGGTTGGGTCGCTTCTCTTCAAGGGCCATGATTCGGCTGCTCTGTGCGACGGGATGGGGCCGGGTTCATTTTGCTCTGCAGGCCGGGTTCCGCACCGCCAAATCTCGATCCTGATGGAGGCAGATCCATTCCTCATGTGGAGCGACCCTGTTGCTGCTTCGTCGGCAGGCTATCCCTTCCAGGCATTTGAGGCACCTCGGCGGCTAAGAACCTGCTGCTTTTTCGCTTTCAGGGCTCTGAAAAGCTGTCGGGCTTTTTCTCAGGCGTTGGAGCCCGGCACGCACGGTTTGGATGGACTGGCAATCACGGACCTGTTAGGCAGGACAAACTCTCAAGATCCGAGAATGCTTTTGAGAAGACCTCGTGCTTTCCGAAGGTTCAATGCCTCTGCAGCTAGAGCCTCCGGGCAGGCCTGGCAGCGTGTGACTTTCCAAAAGAGACTGAAACATCATCAATACCTCGCCTCTTCGTCTCGCGCAGACCGGGTTCGGCACCGCCCATTCTCCATCCAGATGGTGGGGCATCCAGCGTGTGACTTTTCCGCATGAGCTCGAGTCAGCTCGAGCTGTGCGAGGCTTCTCCCCCTTCTTAGAGACTGCGGCGACCTTCGAGGCTCCCTCGGCTCTCGGCTCCCTCGGCTTCCTCCGTATGTGCAGCGCAGGCGGCGCGGAAGGCGGCGTACCGGGAACAACTGGAGTTACCAAGCAGGCCACGGTCCGCACCACTCGAGGAGGCTCCGTTGAGACTAGGTGCATTCACTGAGCGATTTACAGTAACTGGCCAGGAGATCGTCAACGTGCTGCGGGAGGAGGCCCCGCTGGCCGAAGGCTTCTGAACCGCGTGCGAGCGCCCTAGCGCCAGCCTCTCGCCAGGCGTTAAGCCGGATGGATCCTCGAGACAAAGACCTCTTCGCCTTCCAGGCTCCATGCAGATTCGGCTCAGAGCGAGGCAGCAAGCCCGTCTGCAGGCGGCGGCAGTGGCGCCCCCCCGCTCCCCGTCGCCGTTTATGGGAGAAGGCGCCGACAAACCGCCGCAGAAGCTTTTTCCAGAAGTCCTCCCGGGCCACTCCAGGCCCAGGCGATCTCCTGGAGCGCCAGCGCCAGGCGCTCTTCGGCCTGGCACCTGCAAGAACTTTGCAGGCCAGAGCTATGGAGCCGGCTATGGAGCCCTTTGAGCCCTTTCTGTGCCATGTGCAGGCAGCCGCAGCGCTGGAAGCAGCCGCCCGGCAAAACGTAGATTAGATGGTGGGTCTCGTCGACTCCGTCAGGGGCGAGCCGGGAGCCGCCTTTGCCTTTGCCTTTTAAGGACCGCTACACTCCACCACCCACGCAGGCTGCTTGCTGAAAGCTAGCTCCGAGACTTTGGGTTTGACGAGGAGCTGTGAGAGAGAGATGCGAATCCCGGAATGTCTGGACTGTGTTGCATCCGAGGTTCACCCCAGCTTGCTGTCGCAGGCACAGCTGTCTTGGCTGAAGGAGTGCACAGCAGTTACTGCCACGCATTCGCCAGTCTCCGGTGCCTCATTCGCAGTCGCCTGCTTTCGGGGTGCCCTTGCCATGATTAAACGTGACAGAGAGCAGTTGCTTCAGACTTGAGACGCGTCTGCCTTTGTGCAGTCTCCGGGCTTGCACGGCCCCGTCACGCAGCCAGCTCAGTTTGAGCGAGCGGGGCCAGGCATGAGCACAATGTAACTCTCCAAGGCACCAGCCGTTCGGCGATGATGCACCTGCCCTTCTGCATCCCGGTGTGCAGCCCTCAGTTTTTGTGTGGGCGGATCGGTCAAGGACAGCTTAGCAAGCGAGGCTGTTCGGGCCTTCGATCCCATCAACCGGCCTATTTCGGCACCGCCTGCCCCAGAGTCCAGTCCGGAAGGGCACCAGGCGCTCATAACACCCGCAGCCTGTAGTGACTGTAGTGATCGCACCATGTTGGTGTCGCAGGCAGAATATTCTGGGGACATTCGTTCCAAGCTCAGAAGCTTCGCAGGTCACACTCTGCACAGCTTTTCAGCACCAGAACGTAGGTTTCCTGGGGAAATGAGGCTGTGATCCCCTTTACCGGCATTTCTGGGAGATGAAGAAAGGGCAGAACGTCGGACCCTGAAGCAGTGACATTTGCAAGGGAGCTTTCTGGCTTCGAGGTCAACTTGCCGAAGCCCCTCGACCCTTGCGAGGACTGCAGCCTTGCCAGGGTGTCACCCACGACTCACCGCCGTCATCCAAAGCCTTTCAATCTGCTCCGCTCCAGGGCCCAGGTCCAGGCTCCTGGAGGGAGGTGAAAAGAAAGGCGTGAAAGCAAGCTCAGCCTTAGCAGGCTCAAGTCCGGATGCGAATTGAAAGCTTAAGGCTCCCGGTTTCCAGAATCCTTTCGCCTCAATTTCGGACGACTCGAGCCAGATGGTTGCAGGAGATCGCCAATCACCGGCCCGGCTGCACAGGGCAACGGCCTCGGTGAACCTTCCCGATCTTCCCTCTTGCATTGCACACTACCACACTGCACAGGTCTGAATTCGGGCAGTCGCAGCTAGCCTCGGACATGCTGGAGCACATGCCAGGCTCTGGCAACAAGGGAACGCTTGCACGAGCATTCCACGGGTTGTGAGCATCACGACTGCGATAAGCGATCCTGCGCTGTGTGGCTGCACATCCCCTACTTGTCAGCTCAACCACCGCTTGGTCTTGGCTTCGTGCCGGCACATGTCTGAGCTGAAATCATGACTAATCCAACCCACTGCGCTCGCCGACTTGCCAAGGCCACTGGCTTCTCGACAACGTACGGACATGTGCCCAGCTGCCGACTTGGCTTACAGGCTTTCTTTTGTCTCTCTCCGTCTCTTCCCTCTTCGGCGTTTCGCCGGAGGCTCCTTCCCTACCCCACGAGAGAGAGAGAGAGAGAGATAGAGAGAGAGAGAGTGCTAGGGGGTCAACAGTGCCGGTACACCCGCCTCACGGTTTCAGAAGTCTTACCAACGACAAGTACCAGGGCGCGTGCGCGCGCGCGGGGGGTACGGGTTACCGTGCTCCTTTGGCTGTGTGGAAGAAGAGAGAGAGAGAGAGAGAGAGAGAGCGGGGGGGGCCAGCTCCAGCAAAAGCACATACGATTGGGCAGCCGTCCTGAACCTGCACAACCTGCCGAGGGGAACGCTCACCCCAGAAGAAGGACAACGATTGCAAAGGCCGCAGCAAAGCACACAGCACACAAAAGCAGCAGCGGGGGCACCAGACCCTAGAAGGCGCCGCAACAGACAGACTGGGGACGCACAGTTACAAGACGAAGGGGACGAACCGGAGGAGCCACCAATGTTGTGGGATGGAGTCTTCCGCACCATGACGTTGTCTGCAGGGGGCGCAGAAAAGCCCCTCACTTTCCCTCCGGAAATCCCGACGACTTGGGGGGGTCGATGTGCGCCTCCGCAGCCTGCCATATGGAGTTTGGGCAGGGCCCACTATGATGACAGAATCCAGAACAAGAACACCTCGCAGGGGCCATAGAGGCCACCCTACCACGCACGTCGACGATGGCCCCTTCACAGTGGGAACTGATGGCTCAGAAGCTCATCCCATCTCCTGACAGACCTCGGTGGCCAGCGAGGAACCCCACTTTCGCGACACCCAGCCGGGCCACGGGAAGCGCCTCTAGCGCCCCGGAGCATGCACCAGCAGGTGACCCGCAGGGGGACGCAGACGACGAGCAAGATGAGCACCATGACGCGACCAACCTTATGCAGACACACACTCAGTTAGATAGTGTAGCGTCCTGCAGCCATGGCCCGATGCCGGCAGCTGAACCACTGCGCGGGTCACGTCACTGGCTAAGAGAGCTCGCGGCATACCTTCAGACCTACCCCATGGGGAGTGACATACCGCTTCTACTTGAACAAGCAATGGAAGCGGTGGGACGTTGCCGAGAACATGTCGACCGCTACCAAGATGACGGCTGCGTGGGGGGCCCCGGCCCTGTCAAGAAACGCAGGGTGATCAACTACTTGGCCACGGCCCGTATGCGACTGCAAGACCTGACGGATGAAGAAGACATGATGAATGGCCCGGGGCAGCATGCTTCTATGAGGGCCTGCAAACAGCGCTTGCAGACTTGGACATGGGGGAAGTGCTCTTCCAGCGAGCGACCAAGGGCCAGTGGGGGCATCAAGTACAACAAGGCATGGAAGGAATACACCAAGCGCAACGAGCGGTACGGAATGCCATGGGTGCCACAGCTATGGGGGACATTGACTGGGTGGTCAGCGGCTGGGGGGATGCAGTGGCAGTCCTGCTGGAGGACGTTGAGACACTCCTGGAAGAAGAGGGCCAGTTGGATTTTGTTCATCCATCGGACGTTGCGGCTCTCGATGAAGGGGCTGCAGAGTTGCCACCGACCAGAGGGGGACAGCCAGGCGAACAGCTAGCCGGGCTGATTCGGGACATAGAGCCGTCATGAACTTCGTCACCTCTGGGGGGCCACAAGTCACTGCCCTGCTGGCAGCTGTATTGGCTGCACAACAGAAGAGTGAAGGAGGCAGCATCCATGTTGAGACGCAGACGACAGAGGGGGGCGAAATAGACATGCTACAGTCCTGCCACGAGTCCGAAGGGCGTGGTGGGAACAGATGGGTGCCGCCTTTGACAACAGAGCAATGGTCGGGGAGCATCCCTTCCTCAACTGGGGGAGACGATAGCCAAATGGATGCTCCTCTCCCCGACAGATGCGGACCTGGTGCAAGCCTTGGAGGAGTTCGAAAGACAAGAACAAGAAGAAGCGATGGAAGCAGCCCGCATGACAGACCCGACAGATTCCAGAACTGAGGGGGAACATAAGGGGAATAGCCCTGCCAGTCACCGTAGGCGCAGAGTACATGCAACCATGTTAGAGTGACGATGGATGCAAGGGTGTTGCAGTGCTTCTTGTTGGGGATACGTCGTATGTGCTGTAAAACTGATCGTGGCCGGGCCCTCAGAATAGCAGTTGTCTTGAAGAGATGTGTTGTCATGTCTTGCAGCCCAGTGCGCAAGAGGGACCGCGCTTGCCTGTTTTCAGTACCGCACCAACAGCTCCAATACTTTGGGAGCTCCAAACTGGGGGGCTCTGTACTCAATGTTAACATGTTGCATTCGTGATGCATTGCATGTTGAATTGTGTACGTTTCTTCTTAGCCCCCCAGTTCCCCAAGAGCTGCGTTTGAACAACAAACCACGAGAGGAGGGACAGAGCTGGTGCGGGCCCGATGAGGCCGGGGTCCAATAGTTTTAGTCGGTAGAGGTTCTTTGCTCGGGGACCACGGCCCACATCGGACAAAGCTTTCACACATGAAACGCGCAACCAGTGCGTGCACGCGTGCGGAGGGGGGTGCAATGCCCTTCTCTTGACTGTGTGGAAAGAGAGAGAGAGAGAGAGAGAGAGGACGAAGAGGCCGGGTTCGTGCTAAAGTTGTAAGGGGGTTCAACAGAGCTGGTACGCGGCCTCATCGTATAGTGAAGTCTTACCCGGACGAACAACCAGGGCGCGTTCGCGCGCGAGGAGAGCGCCCTTGCTCTCCTTTGGCTGTGCAGAAGAAGAGAGAGAGAGAGGCATATTGAAACCTCTTCGGTTGCAAGGATCGCCATCGCCGCCTTGGGATAGCAGGCGCCAGCCGGAGCGAAGTTTTTTCTTTGCCATTGCAAACACGGCAGCTGCATGGTCTTCCTTCGTAAAGATCTGATATAACCTTCGCTTTGTTTTAGGGCTGGCGTGGCTCAAACCGTAGGCAGACTCCGTGAATGGACCCTTTGATATCATGGGTCAGAGCCAGTCCCTCACGGCGCCATGCTGCGCAACGAGGGAACGCCTGAACTCCGATTTCAAGGCACCGGCAGAACACGTCGACGAGTTGATCTGTACTGGTCTTCTTTTAAAGGTGAGTGGGAGCACAAGTCCGCTGCTGAAACTCGGTGCACTTTCGTGGGTCAGCTTTGCATCTGAATGAAAGCAGCGCCTCCTCAGGACAGTCTCTTCCTTGAAGTATAAAACAGGTGAGAGCACAGACGAGTGGGTCTGTGCCTCGGTGGTCAACGGGTGAGACGGTCCCAGACGGTCCCAGTCTGGCATCGGAGGCGGACGACGTCGAAGCCGGGTCGCCGTCGTCCCTTCGACTGCGCTAACGGTCACACTTGGGAGCCAGAGGGCTGCCTTTGCGGTCTCCGAGGCTCGCAGAGGCGGAGACGGCCCCAGAGAGCGAGTGCCAGTTGGCCGCGGCCCCGGCCCAAAGGTGTCAGCGTCAGCAAAGGCGTGGTGTCAGTGGTGTGCATCGCCTTCTGAGGCTTCTGGAACAGTACAGACAGAGCCCTCTGAAGGCTACCTGCCTGCCTTTCGGTTCAGGAATCTTCTTTAGCAAGGCTCCTTGACCTTACGCTCCAGGCTGTTGCGCGGAGGAGAGAGACAGGCGGGAGAAGCCTCCGCCGTTTTGTGCTATGCTGTTGCCGCTGTGCCGTATGGTCAGGTGTTGCCACGGGCGCCTATTGAAGTTTCAAGCAAACGAGCCGCCCACGCACAAGCCTCAGCCAACACCGTGGCGTCGCGACGCATTCTCGAACTGACCCGGCTTACTTCAGAGGACGGGGACGGTTCCTCAAATGGCAGCCCTCCGGCAAAAGCCCGCGACTCCTCGATTTCCAGCCGCTTGGCGACGCCGCGTAGTGAGAGCTCCTAGTCTGGCCTGTCCTCGTGGCACGCCTCCATGTACTCCGAGGAATCTCCATCTCATTGTGACGGAATTCAAAGCAGCCTGCGCTCCGATGGAGGCGAGGCCGCGAGGGGCGAAAGGAGTGTGGAAGTGACACATTTACCCCAGGTCCACTGCGCCTCCACGGAATGTTCAGCAGCAGCCAAGTCAGCCAGGCCGGCTGCCAATTTCCCCAGCACGGAAATGTGTGATGGCAATAGTGCCCGCAGGATCACCGAGAACATCGCAGCCAGACGCAGTCAGAACCACCGATTAGGTGGGAAAAGCTGCAAACAGAAGCCTCTAGGAAGATCTTGCCGTGCTCAGACACGCACGGAATGGATGCTCGCAAGCTTCGTCGTGTTTCCAAGAAGATCTTTGCAATTGAGCTGTGCCGGTGCACAGGGTTCGTGATGGCAGCAGCGAGAGCATCATGGTTTGCAGGCTTGAGGGGGGGAAAGTTCATGACACCGTGACGCTGGATGTGCACGAGCGGGTAGAAGCCGTCAGTCGCATGACGCAGCATGACGCCTGGCGAGGCATGGTTGCTGTCGGGCTTTTCGTCCCGATGGAGTTGCAAAAACTGACAGGCTGCGTGCCTTGAAACACCGGTCGTGTTAAGCACATGGAATGGTGAAGCGCTCCCCCTAGGCTTGTGCACATCATTCGAAGGGAGACTTGCCTGCCGTATTCGCTGTACTTTAAAGTAGGGGGGTCGACGGTACAGATGCGGTGCATCACTCCAAGGAGCGGCAAACTCACAAAAGAGTGCTTGACTTCCTTGCTGAACATGGCTTCAAAGGCTTGCGAGGGGCGATCGTCGACGATGTTTGAAACTGTGATCGATCTTGTCGAGGCGTGAATGACTCTCGACGCCAATCTCTAGGTCGGGCTGTCGATTTCAGACTGCGAAGTGTACGAAGCCTCGATGCAGGCTACCCTCGTTGGTTCCCTCTGCATGCAGCGGTCAGTCAGTACGACGCAGAGATGGTTCAGCTCCAAGCATCTTGTGGGATGGTATGCAGGGCGGAGATCCTGAAGCTCTCAAGGTCAGAATGCTGCTGCGCATGGGTGCAGACCCTTCCAGGCAGAATGTGCGGAAGGAAGCTGCGCTTTGGGTGCTCGGGGCGTCTCGCCGACCCAGGCGGAATGGCAACGGTCTGACGGCGGGCGAACTTGCCTTGCGACGGTGCCTAAGACCTAAGAATCGAGAACCATACATGATGAATCTGATTATCTGCACTTGTCTCCCCAGGTCAAACCAAGAAGGGCGAAAGGCGTGCTTTTGATGTGCTTGCAGCCGCGGCCTTGGTGGCAAAGTGGTGACAGACTCCTTCTATTCGTGCTTCTGCACTGGAGCGGTGCCGAACGGTAGAGATGTGGGCACAGGACACAACCTGCGCCGTGCTGTGGGCAACGTGCGTGCAGTGTAGGTCTACCAGTCTTCATGCATGCATGCCCGCGAACATGCAAAAAAATTTGTCTGGTTCGTGAAACGTACATAGGCACACATGGCCGATACACATATGCACATAATTAGTCAGAGTCATGTAACATGTAACTCTTATAATAGCCATACAGTTACGTGTATGTCATATTTTCAAACACACACACACACACACACGCATACATACATATATATATATATAGATATGCAGGTTACATGTGTATAATATATACATGTAGCATATATATATATATCTCTATTACATTAGATTACATTACATTACATTACAGTATATTATAATATATTATATTAAACAATATTTTATATTATATATTGTATGTTGTATATTATATATTGTTTATGATACATCATATATTATATATCATATATTAAAAATTACATGTATATATTATATATTATATATTATA